GTGGGGACAGCTTGTCCACTCTGACAGGTCAGGGGATCTTTGCACGTAGGGATAGTGACCCACATTTCTCCCACGATCCCAGGATGTCCTGCCCAGAACCCCTCTTGTGGAACAGGTCCTCACTACATTCTGGGTGACCCTGAGGGAGGCCTCACCCCAGGCAGATTCTGAGTGAACACAAAGGCCAAGTGCCCAGAGTGCTGGGGCCGGGTCTGTCCTCAGGGCCCCAGGGCCTCAGGAAAGACCCCTGGAGCTTTAACTTACTATTAAAAGCTGGGGCCAGTGGCCTGTCATTTTTCAGGGCAAAGACCCAGGCTCCTAGATTCCTTTTCAGCTCCGGGACCTCCATTCTGTGAGCTCTTGGCCTATGGCCCATGTTCTAAGTCTAGTCTTCTCCCTGGAGTCCAGGGGGACTGCTCCTGGTGGCATTTTGTGTGGGCTCTGAGTCATCTATCTAGCTGTGGGGTCACCTACAGCTTATTTGCAACCGGTACATCTACAAAACCCTATTTCCTCTTCCTCACACCACCTCCTCACTTCCAGTGACCACTTCCCCTGCCCCTCCAGGCCCAGAACCTATGGAGGGACAGAATCTGTGGCTAAGGGGCAACCAACTGATTCTGGCCATGAATTGATGCCACCTGTCTACTGGTCCAGTGCAGGGAAACTGGCTCCTCCACAGGGGAGAGCTGGTTGTGGTTTTCCCCTGGGTGACAAGCTTCATGAGGTTTTGGGGGAAAGCAGCTCAGGCCTTTGTGGACATTGTGCCTAGCAGCCAAGCTGTGAGGCTGATTCCAAGTTGGCTTTGGGGTACAGTGATGGAGAAAACTCTCAAGAGGCAGCCAGGATTTGGGTGGTGCTGTTCTCTACTGTACCCCAGGTGGTGGTAGAGGGGAGTAGGCCATGGGCTGGGCCTCGGCCCTGTGTCTTCACCAAGCACGGGCGGTGCACATGGCATTGCAAAGGCTGGGGGACCAGTTGCCAGATATGTTAGGACTGAGTGTTCCTTGAGCAAGGCCAGATAGCGCTCTTCCTGCACTGTGCACAGCACTGAGGGGAAGGTTTCCCCTAGGGCTGCTCTGGGCATAGGTGAGCTGTATTAGTTATACCCAGTGCTGGGGGTTTTGCAATATTTGTCATCTGGGTATGACAGGCATTAGACAGTGGGTCTTGGAATGAGGACTGGTCCAGTGGAAGATTGGTGCCTGCTAATGGGGCCTGTCATTGGGTGGGTATAGGTGGGCTACCTCTCCCACAAAACTGACCTGTTGCAAAGTGCTGTGATGTCACATGAGCACAGGTGTCTGCCTTCTTTCTCCCAGGTATCTTCACAGCTCCATACGATGGGCGCTACCTGATCACAGCCACCCTCACTCCTGAGAGGGATGCGTACGTGGAAGCTGTCCTGTCGGTCTCCAATGCCAGCGTGGCCCAGCTGCACACAGCTGGCTACAAGAGAGAATTCCTGGAATACCACCGACCCCAAGGGGCTTTGCACACTTGTGGGGGCCCGGGAGCGTTCCACCTTATTGTGCACCTGAAGGCAGGAGATGGCGTCAACATCGTCGTGACTGGGGGCAAGTTGGCTCACACAGACTTTGATGAAATGTACTCCACATTTAGTGGGGTTTTCTTATATCCTTCCCTTTCCCACCTCTAGGGCACCAGGGAAAGATAAGGAAAGAAAGTTGTAAGAACTGGAAAGCTTTAATATATTCACACTTCATGTATGTAACTGGAGCACTGGTCTAGTTTTGTCGACATCCCACCACCTCTCTCCAGATAAAGGCCTTACCTGGCTTTGGAGGCCACCACCTTAGAGATCCCCAGCAGGCAGCAAGGAGTGAAACACGTGGCCACCGATTTCGTCACTCCTGCTGGCCAGCTGAAGAGTTGGACACGCCCTTACCCATCCTCCAGGTCCTCCCCCATCTCTGGCTTTACCTCAAGAGGCCAGGGATGGGCCTACAAGGTGCTGCCCTGCAGGGCAAACATAGGATCACGTCCTGCTGATGGAGAAGAGCTGCTGGAGGCAGGTCTGAAGGGGCAGGCTGGCCAAAATTGGTACCTGTGGCTCCAACCTTTGCCAGAGAGCACAACCGGTCACCACCTGTTTTTGTGTTTATTTATACTGCATGCAGAAGTTTAAACACTGAAGTGGCACATGCCGCCACAGAGAGGCCTGGGTTTACAGCCTGGGCTGCCCCAGGTCTGGTTTACCACTGCACATCCCGGGCCTCTGCCCAGCTGTGAAGGGATCCAAGACGCTGTTGTGCAGCTTGTTGGGCTCCTTGAATGACATGTACAATTTAAGTGCAAAGACAGGGAGTGTCAATAAAGATGTAAAACCACTAAATCACTTCAAGTTACTTAAATCTGGTGCTTTATGGATTGAGAGTTGTTGCTAAAAGCAAACTGTAGAAAGGTAATTGACTTTTCCTGATGGCAATAGAAAGTTAAGGTTTAATAAATTAACCTCAACCATTTAACTTATTCCTCAGCATCCAAGATGTACACTTGGTTCTGTTTTGCTTGTGAAGACAGTCCAGATGTGCTTGGAGGTCAAGGCCCCCATGTGAGCCTGCAGCTGGAGGGGCTCCTCCAGGGGATGTTGAGAATTCACATCTAATTAGCAGCTGCCCAAGCAAATGAGGTTGTTCGCTGCCCAGATCACAGATGCGGCTTTAAAAACTCTGGGTTCCCAGGCAACAAGAGGCCCAACATAAAGCTGAGCACACACTGAAAGCTGAGATCATCTGAGAAAAGCAGGCATCTTCTCCTGGACAGCACACTCTGTTCCAGGGAAGCCCAGACACATTACTCCCTTACCAGCAGCCACAGAAACCTCTAGGCACACCAGGCTCTTCACTCCAGGTGGTCTCTGCTCATCTGATTGGTAAAATCTGTTGGTCAGTCAAGTGCCACTGGGGAGGCAAGTCCCCTAGAGCCCTAGGGAAAGATGTGGACCATAGACAAATTTCCTTGGCCTGAATCAAGCCACCAGATACTCTAATGCTGTAAAAATTGTAAAAACTCCAGGACTGCTTGCCAGTGAGATCACACGGTGGCCACTGGCCACGGCAGAGAGGAGCCTCCTTTCTCACCCCACCCCCAGGCAAGGGAGGAATGACCAGGAGCTTGAAGGTTTGCTGTTTTAGTATTTTAAAGTCTGGGCCTCTCTGTCCAGAGTATGGGGGAGGGCGTATTCTCACCCCATCTCTCCAGCTGGGGAATTGGCTAAAGGTGGCTGTCAGAGTATTGCTGGCTTCCTGGAAATGACTCATGGGGGGAAAAAAACCCTGTGCAATTGAGCATTTTCAGGAAAATCCAGTTGGCGCGCACACATTTTTGCCCTCTCTCCCTCACAGCTCCTTGTAAAGACCTTACCTCGGTGCCAAAGGGGATAAGTGCGCAATGGTCAGAAAGACAAGAACCACAGGTGGTTCTCTAGAGCACCAAGTAACACTTAGCCTGCACTGAGAGGAGGGATGACTCATTTACTGAAAAAAGGTGATTTCAGTTCTGTGTGGCCAAGATAGGCAAAGGAGGAGACTAAGTCTAATTACAGCAGGCCCTGGTTCACTTCAAGATGAAATAGGAGGAAAGCCAAATCATGTCCATTTAGGGGAAAGCATCTTTCAAAAGGGAAACACCAAGAGAAAATGCGAGGTCACCTGACTGGAGGATGCAGAGCTCTGGAGCAGCCCCTTCAGAAAGCAACAGCTCTAAACTGTGTGCCTGAACTGAATCAGGAGCAGGGTTGTAACTTCTGAAATAAAGTAGGTGTTGCCAAGGAAAGGCCAGCATACCTCCTAAGGTAAGCATGGACAGGACTGGACATTTTTTCTCCCCACATAAACAATTACGAATGGCCACAGTTAAATGATTGCAGACAACAAAATGATCCCAGCAATAATGCAAATCAATGCAAACTGCATTTGAAGTCATTTCTACGTTAGCACATTACTCTAGCTTTCTCAGTGACCCTATCATCTCTCCAACTGTTTTTCACATTTGTAGTTTGAAAGGATAGAGGTATTTGTGATCAGAGACACACCCAAGTCCATGCTTGTATATCTGAAACATGGCTTTGCATATATCCACATCCACTTTCTAAACATAGATATGTGTCTTCCCTGTACTGTCCTATCAAAGGGGAAGAAAAGGATACACACACACGAACTTCTAAGAGCACTGAGTACAGCAGAAGGAAGCTACAGTAGAGAGAGGCCTTCTGAGAGCACAGGAATGGCACCCATGCTGCTCCTCCCCGAAGCACTGGAAGCCACTCGGGGTAAAAGCCATTCCCTTTATAATCAACCTCCCAGTCTGAGCTCTTCCTCTCTCTTCCCAAAGTACCCCCCCGCCCCGCCCCAGCTCCAGTTCCCTTTCCCCTGACCTCTCACCCAACCATGGCAAAGCAGCATGAAATGAGAACTTCCCACACTTGGAGGCACACTCTCAAGGGCTTTTGGGATTGAGCACGTTCCACATATACTGCATCTGGCAGGGCCCCAAGATCCGAGGGGATAAAAAGATGCTCACTTAAATAGTATGTGGGATGTGGGTTTTGATCCAAGTTCACTCTGACTCTCCTAAGCCTATGAAAACATCAGGATTGCTAAGTAGTATTCACCCTGAGGAAGGGTTTAATGGAAGGTGGGGTGGCTGTGAGCGTGACTCTCAGGGGACCCCTGAAGGGCTGAGGGGTGGAACGGAAACATAGCCTAGAGGATTCCAGTGAGAACACACCAGAAATCACATATGTATGAATGAATCATTCCCTGGCAGAACCTACAAAGCAAGAGGTTAGTTCCTGAGGGTGTAGCCTCACTTTTGGAGTCAGATTTTATAAAAATAAGCACCAAAAAGAAGTCCTTTCTGTACACAAATTTAAGTGTCAGCAAAGATCAAAATGCTAATGTATGGAAATTAACAATTTCTGGCAAGAGTACAGAGAAGATGGTTTAAATGTCCTCTGAAGGAAAGAGTCAAATGCATTCAGTTTACGCCTGTTTATTGTTGTAACGTTTTGTTTTGAACATCAAACACTGCACCAAAATAGGAGCCATTTATCTTAAGACAATGGTCTTTGCCATAACTGAGTACTGGACTGATGTTTACAATTAATTTCTGACAACTTAAAACTTATTAGTGGCACTGCTGTCTAAAAATCAAATACTTCATCATAAAGTGTAATTATTAAAAGAACAAAGTTTCCCCCTGCCCTTTCTTACCTTCAAACCAAAGACATAGTTTTCATCTGGAAAGAGCACTTACTGGAACAAAAACTCAATTTTAAACTAGTTACATTAAACCCAGCATGCTCTAAAACAGGAAAACAAGGCTTCCTAGAGTAAACATGATGATACTGAAAAGATGTTAAAATTCCCTGGAAAAGTCTGTTTTCACCAACATGCGAAGAGGAAGAGCTGACTTCTTACCTACCTTTAAAAGGTCCTGCCTGCACCTTCAGGAACACACTGTGGAAGGGCCATGTGCGGTCTCATGGAGCACAAGTACTTCCAGTCATTTACTAGCTGTTGTTCCTCAGCTGTTCTCCCTGTGGCTGTTAGCAGCTTTCATCTTAGGACAATTTTTTTTTTTCCAGTTGAAAACTATGGGGATGTATTAAGCACAGCAAACACAGGACTCACACGCAGGCTACCGGGCATGCTGCGGGCCCACACATGCACTTCCTAACCCTGGAAGATGCAGATGTCGACGTCACAGCCCTATAAGCTTCAATACGCGCACATCAAGGCAGATACTCAAGTCAGGCTGAATTGGAAAGAGGAAGAGGGGTGATGGCTGTTTCACAAGTGAAGCAACTGAAAGAATCACTTAGAAGAGCCCAATCTGCCTGCAATCACCCCGAGATACCATCCATCACTGAAAGCAGTGCAAGGCTAATGCTTCTTCATTCACTCACCATTGTAAGGGTCTGTGTAGAAACACACTCGAGGGCATCTCTCTTTCACAGAAAGAACACACGTCATTTGTACCAAATGGCAATGGGTTTTCAGCACAAACTTAATACTTTCATCACACTATAGTCATAGTAATCATCTACTTTTCAGCAAGAGGGACTCCTTCCCTTAAGGAAAAAGACTCATGTTAATTAGTGTATGTATCCACTGGATCAATCTACAGCAACAAAGTCTAGTGCTTATGGACACCAGGACAGAGGGATCAGCTGCCCTCAACACAGGGTGGGAGACCCGGGTTCCCACGTTGAACCTTGTAGAAGGCCCATGTGTCCAGAGAGAAAGAAACTATCTAGTTAAAAACTCTTTAAAGGACAACCTAAAAAGGACTACAGAAGATGTATATTAAGATTTTTTATACTGCACATACGCAAAGAGGCCCAACTAGGTTCAGGTTAAGTGCATAAAGCTCATGTTCTTCTAAAGCAAACACAGTCGAGGACACACTGATGGCATCTATGAGATCAAGTAACTGCACGGCCACTCTACTAGGAATTTAATTCACTAACTGGGCAGATCTTCATATAAACATAACCTAGTTTTCCTAACCTACTGTACATAAAGAAATTCATTAAACAATTAGACCTTGACCTATTTAAGTGGGAAGGTTTTTACTGGAGGAAGTGTGTGCTATTTCCCCTCTGGGAACATTTGCCTTCAGGTTCTGCCACTGAGAACCGCGTTCAAGGGCCTTGACCATCGTCTCTGTATCCAACCGCATTAGGAAAAATGAGCTACATCAGGGACTTTCAACTCTCCAATCTGGAAAAATAACCTCCCCCATTTTTCCATCTTTACATCAGCATTATTTTGGGGTGGAGTAATAAAACAAGGAGAACCCCCCCAATACAAGCACAGGGGAAAGCAGAGGTGGAAATGGAAACCATCCTGAGAGGGGCGGTGCCTATACCTGAAGCTCCCACTCTGCTCTATAACTTGGCTCACTGCTTCCTCACTGAGAGGCTCTGGCCATCTTTGGTCCCTGATGGCCTCCTCTTCAACAGTTCTCTTGATTTTAGTAGTGAGTTGATTGTCAACACCCAACCTGATCTCTCCAGGCTCTCAGCTTCCTGGGACAGGAGCCTTCCCGATGCTGTCTGCTCGGATTCTGACATGAGCTCATTACAACCAGGCTGAGAAAGTGAGGGGCAGGCAGGACGGAGAGAAGGGCCCTTTTCCCAGGAGCCATTGCAAGTGCACATCTGCATTTCCAAGGCCTCCCTGGAAACAGAGCTGTTCTTTGCTGTTTAACCAACTTCCACTGTTAGTCCTGTTCTTACAGACATCAAATATATCCTGCAAAAATGTTTCTTCTGGCTAGGTTCAAGGCATCACTTAGGGGTTTCCCATCATGGAGCAGTCACAGATGAGAAAGCGATGATCTAAGGGGTTTTTCCTCCCCAGGAGCCCATGTCTGTGAGGTGGGATGAGTGGTCCTGGGCCCCTGCCCCAATAGCTGTCCCGTTTCAGTGTAGCAGGGCATGAGGAGCCCACAGAAGAAATGGGACCTGTAGCAGTTCAGTGGACCCAGATCCCCTTAATAAAGCCCTGGTTTTACACAGAAACGCTTTGAACTACCTAGTGGAAATTTTAACTTTACTTTGTGCAATAGTTTGGTCCACTCTTATTTAGCTTCTGTTTTCTTCCTTTTAAATTATGCAATTAAAGGAGCACCCAGCATACAACTTGACATTCTGTATGTGTGAGAAGCAACCAGTGACAGGAACCCAGGTCTCTGACCCCGGGTCTGAGCTGCCCTCACTTCTCCTGCTGGGGCACTGAGCTGTAACCCTGCCAAGCCCAGGAGGGTGAAGGAGATGGCAGTTCCTGCTCCAGGAGCTCTCCTTGTCCCTGCTGGTGCCTAGCTTTCAACATGAGTCTTGCTCCACATCTGTGGCTGGGAGGAGCCCAGTGTCCTCTGTCCAGCAGAAGTGCCGGTCACCTTCCCTAGCAGCAAGGCGAGAGACTCAGGACCTCCCGGAGGGGCTGTCTCAGGCCAGGTCATCCAGGTCCACTTCGGGGATTGGATCTCGCCAGTAGCAGAAAGAGCTGAACTCTGGGCATGGAAAGGCAGAATTCTGTTCCTTATTGAGAAGTGGGAACACGTGCTCCACAAGCTCACTCAGTCTGTGATACCTAGAAGGGATTGGAGAAGAAAAGCACAAACTGTTACTGTGAAGTTCATCTAAGAGCACAAGACTGCAGGCTGTAAAGCTAGTTATTCAGATTCCTCAGATGGGTAGGATCCGAGACAGGTCTCCATACCTTCCCCAGGAACAAATTTCCTCTTCAAAGTCTAGGAGAATCAATAATCCCATAAATAGAGGGTAAAATAAACAGGCAAAGAGGAAAGCATTCAAAGGCAGGTGTAGCTCTAATACTTTGAGCGAGGCCCGATCCTTAGTATCTGTCTGTCCCCAGTGTCACTCTAGCCGCAGGGCACTAGGCTGAGAAATGGGAACACACTTACGATGACTTGTTTCCTTTGGTCCTTTCTTGTATTAATTCACCCTTGGGGTTCACGGTGAATATTCTGCAGTCTGGAACTCCAACTTGTGTGTAAGCATAGACATCCTGGAGAAGAAAACATTAAGCAGGGTGATTATATGGAGAAGAAATCAGGCACTGCTTCTCCAGTTCCTTGTGAACCAGAATTGCACAAACAGAAGACTGTCTATGGAAAACATGCAGAGTTGGGCACCATGTAGCCTTGCCACTGAAACTGAGCTTTAGACAAACCCAAACAAAAAGTGGAGCCAAACCCAGAGGGTGCTAGGGGATTCAGGAAGTGTGGGCGCCAAGGAGACGTCAAGGGCGCCCTGGAGCAAGAGGGGCCCCACTGCCTGTGAGAAGGCAGGAAGCAACCCCTTTTGCATGCCTGGGATCTGAGGGCCCCCCTCTAAGGGGAGGCAGGTCCGGGAAGTGTCAATTAAGGGTGAGCACTCATGTCGTGGTTCTGGGGTGGATCCAAGGATACCACTTAGAACAAGAGTCAGAACTGCCTGAGGAAACAGGAACTGAAGCCACAGAACAAAAAGAAAGTGCCCTTCATCATATACCAAAATTCTGGGACAGATCTCCATCTACAGGATCTCCTCAATTAACGTAAGAAATTTGGAAAATTTGGATAAAGTGAAAACCTATTTACCAGAACAAACATTCATTTTGCCAATAAAATTCATTTGAGAATTATGACATGGCTACACCGTAAAAGTATACGCCTCTCAGTTTTACCCACCACATCAGAATGTGCAGCCGGAAAGGGACACTTACATTTGGACGGTTTCCAAAGGCAGCATAGAAGGGCTGCTTAGATGGGGCAAACAGATTCTTGATATCATTTAGACACTCAATTTTAAATTTCTCTGGTTTCTTTTCTATCACTTCCCTAGGCGAAAAAAAATTCAAATATAGTTACCAAATTCAAAATGGCAGTATTCCCTGGTGTATGGTCCTAAAAAATTTTAGTGCTCACAACTACCCGTTTTTTAAAATCCTTTGTAACTGGTATCTTTCTTTCTCCTCTGCTAGTCAATCTGATACTTAAGAAAATTTGAAGGGGTTTGGGGAAAGAGAAAACGGCCAATCTCAGAACTTGACTTTCCTTGACCATGGCTTGACAGGGACCAGGTGAGCTGTGATGTAAAATGCTATAGGGGAGCCCTGGCCGGTGCTACTCAGTGGTTGAGTCTTGTCCCATGCACCAACAGGGCACTGGTTTGATTCCTGGTCAGGCACATACCTAGGTTGCGGGTTTGATCCCCAGTCAGATCACATATGGGAGGCAACCAATAGAAGTTTCTCTCTCACATCAGTTTCCCTTTCTCTCCCTTTCCCTTCCTCCTTCTCTAAAATCAATAAAAATATTTAAAAAAAAAGAAAAAAAGAATGCTATGGGGGAGCCAAAGAACTAAGATAAGCACAGAAGCTCTGAAACAGATACAAACCCTTTCAATGAACCTGACACCCATCCTCACACACAGTCCATTCAGCCTCAGTACCCCCTCCCATGCACTCAGAGGGGCTGCCTGCTTGGAGGTACCTGTGAAAGGCGGAGAATAAGCTGCTGGGGGACAGCATCAGAGGGCCCCGAGGCAAGATCGTGCCCTTGTCATTGACCCAGTGCAGGTAGCCACGGGTCATGTCGGCCATGCCGATGGCACGAGCAGAGCAGTACAGAAACTTGTAGCCATTCCTGAAAGAGAATGTGTCTTATTTAGTCCATTGTGCTTTGGCTAAAGGTGAAAAAAAGAAAAAAAAAGTACTTCTCTGGTAAAAGATCCAAGTAAAGATTCTCTCATTTATTGTGAAAATCAAATTCTTTAATTTAACAGGAAAACAGGATTATGACGATATCACCTTTCCATGGAAAGCAGCATGGGGAAAAATGGGGCATATGCCACTAGGGATTATGCTAAATTTATGAGTACTGATGTATCTTTAGCATCTAGTCAAATGAAAGGCAGATTACAGAAGAGACAAAAGTCTTAGACTATCTTTAAATTATCTGCTATAAAGGAAAGATATAAAAGATCTTATTTATAAAACAAATTGTAGAAGGCAAACCATTCTGTAAGCCAAGGAGCAAAATTATATCTGAGTGACTGACATAATTTTCATATTAAGGCATTCTCAACTAGTGTTTAAGACACTGTAATTTTTCAAGTAATTTCAACTCAGATGGGGTCCCACAAAGGCCATGACACTGTGTTCTCTGCTGCACTGGCATACAAGACTCCAAGGGTGAAATGTCTCCCCCATGCATGCATGACCTCCTTGAAAAAATACCCAATTTAAAAGTACCCAAGTACCCAATTAATAAACCAAAAATGAAAATCAGCTCTTGTTAAATTACAGCTAAAACCCATACAGTTATAACTATAAATGTAGGTAGTGCCTAAAGTTCCTAGCATAGTGAATGAAACAATATATGTTGGCTGCCACTTTTCTTTGTGTGAGGCTATAGGAAAGGAGTGGGAAAGAAGACTGGAAATAGTTGAATCATGAACACACATGATTTCCATGTACGCTATTTTTCAATAGTTCTTAAAGCAAAATTCTGGCTCACTAGAGCACACTAGCAGGTGGGGCAGGGGACCTACTCATTGATGGCGTGGTAGAGCTTTGCGATACCCTGATGAGTCCAGTCTTTACCCAGCTGTGGAAGAATCTGTCCCAAAGCATCAGACCTAATAGGGTAGAAGAGGAAAAGGTATCAGGAATCAAGCATATAAAAGCCAAGTGTTTTCCTTTTTAGTTATGTACAGGCTGCCAAAAAACACTGGGCGGGGGG